GGGGCGGGTGCCGTGGTGGGTGCTGTGCCCCAGGGAGGCGTGGGGGGATGGGGAGCCTTGCTCTAATTTTTTTGCTTTGCTTCACCTTTGGAGGTGTGAGCAGAGGGACTGAGCCCTGGGCTGAGCTAGAGCAGCCTCTTCCTCTGTCCTCCTCTTCCTCCCTGCTCGGACGTGGTTCCCCGCCTCGCCCGTATTTTGGTAAAGCCTCAGGGGAAACAGACCTCACATATGAAAGCGCTTCGTGTGCATCCTGAGGGGCAGCGCTTTAAAGAAAGCCAGAAACAACCTGCACGCAAGTGGGCTGGATCTGACTTTGTACCTCACAGATGTGGACAAGAAAATGAAAACCTTTCCTGTGTGGGCTTTGCCATTGCAGTGATTCACTGGCTGGCAGCACTGGGATCCAAAAACGCCAGCGAGGGAGGGAGTGGGCCTCCATGCAGGCTCCCTTGCTTCTCTCTCAGGTATCAGGACTCAAATACCCTTGAAAAGGAATTACATGTTTCTGCTCCTTCTCTTTCAGGGTGGTCCAGTCGAAATCCTGCCTTTTCTCTACCTTGGTAGTGCCTATCACGCTTCCAAGTGTGAGTTTCTCGCCAACCTGCACATCACGGCCCTGCTCAACGTCTCCAGGAAAAGCTCGGAGTCCTTCAAAGACCAGTATTGCTACAAGTGGATCCCGGTGGAGGACAGTCACACAGCAGACATCAGCTCACACTTCCAGGAAGCCATCGACTTCATCGGTAGGTCCGAATTAACAAATTTCCAGATCTCATTCATTTTAAAATACATATTGGTCAGAAGGACACATTATTTTCTATATGTTCCCAGATGTCACAGCAAAAGTTTAAGCTCCCTCCCTTCTCCAGCATCTCTCCTGGCAGAGGGATTTCCACGAGGAAGGAAGGAAGAGGGACATGCAGAGCAAGGTCTCTGTCCTTCTCTCCAGGCTGGAGGCTAAGGAAGGAAAATACTGCCTCTTGACTGCCATCAGGCAGACGAGGCGAGTGAGCTGGTTAGCTTTATTTTCTTTTCAAAGCAAGCATAGGCGTAACTTCAGCATGACAGGGAGCAAAGAAGTATGGTTGAATAACACCAAAGTCTATTGATTTTTGTAAAGGAAAAAAACATATTGGTTCCTTGGACTTGCATGCCAGACCCTGTAAAAGCCAGGTGAAGCAGAGTCAGTTCATTGCCTTGCTGTGCTGAGATATCCTAAAGCCGGGGTCTTAGAAATCCAGCGTCTCCCCTTATCACAGAGCTCTTTCCATTTCTCCTTTTGATCATGCCGGTATCTCACCCTTTAATCAAATACCCCAATAAAAAAAAAATCAGGAGGCCTTTAGAAAACTTTGGGCCACCCCCTCCCAAATCTTCCTGTGTTAGGCTGGTTAGGTGAGCGGCACAGCAGCCGTGCCAGGTAGCACGAGGGAGAGGCTCCTTCCTGAAAGGCACAGGGTGGTTTAATGGGGTGGAGCAGCCTGAGCCTGGGTGGAGATGGTGTTGAAATCAGTGCTGTTGCTCTCCAGGAACATTTGAGAGAGAAACAGAATAAAACCCCAGTTACAGACCTGCTGGACTCATTGCACAGCTGAGTTCAAGTCCTTTGACAGTGCAGGCAGAATTACAAAACCTGATCTGAGGGTGCCCTCTGAGCTCTTCCCCTTTCTGGTAAGGGACTTCTCACACCTTTCAGGGAAATGCTAATTCAAAGCACTCTTCTGTCTCATCCCCAACTCTTTCTGATAGTTGTTGAGTCACTTGGAAATTTCCCAGATTTCGAGGATGACTTTAGTTTTCACTTTCTTTTAAAATTGGGCCTGTGGTGTAGATGCTGGGGATGACTCAAATTCATGTCTTCCTTATTTTGTGCAGTAGTTAAATATAACCGGTCGTGGTGGCACCGGTCCCCTGGCAGACAATTGAAGACAGGCAAATGATAACTTGCTCAGCTCTGAGTTGTTTCACTGAGCACTACACTCAGCGCAGTTATCCATAAATTTGAGCTTGAACATATCGCTCAAGGCAATAAAGCAGAGAACATCTATTTTTGAACTGTATTTTTGTGTGGAAAGGGTTTTTTTTAAGCACATTCTCTTTAATAACAATCATTGTGTTGTGTGAGTAACCACAGTGGCTCCTGTTGTATAAAATGGGTGCTTTGCATAAGCCTTTTATATCCTGACTTAAGTCCAAGTATCCTTTAACCAGGCTGTAATTAGCAACTGCCTACCAGTCCTTGTGTGCTTTGTGGTGAGGCCCCAGGGAGTGAGCTCAGCCTCTCCACCCAAGGGCACCCACCAAGGGCTCAGCTAATGGTACTGCCGTTTGCTGCTAGCTGGCCAAGCAGCGAGTTAAGTTTGGACTTTAAAGAAAAGTCCTGTTTTTCTAGCAAAGCTGATGAGAGGAAGGCAGCCCTGCAGCTTTTGAAAGACCTGGCGGTGGGAGGGCTGGCCAGGCTGTGCTTGGGTCAGCATGTTGAGCTGCAGGCAGAGAAATGCAGGTACAGCAAACACAAGCTTTGCCCAGATACCTGATCTCTGTCTCACAATGCTCTGCAAAGTCAGTTGTTCTAAAAGAGAAATAGGCACATGGGAAGGAGACAGGGAAGGACTTTCCTTAAAAAATGCAGAAAGAACCAAATCGGGATCCACAGATTCTGAAACCATGTCATTTGCAGCTCAGCTCCATCTCAGGCTGGGTTTTGTCCCCCTTCTCTTTTAATTTCCATCTTACCCTTAGTACCCAACAAAAGAGCAAGCCTCTCCTTGCTGGTGGACTGGCTGTGTGCCATGCTCCCCTGCCAGCACTGTATGCATGTCACAGTGTCCTCTCCATCCCCAATGACAACTGATGTCTGTGATGACTTTTTTCCCCTTAGATTATGTCAGACGAACAGGGGGCAAGATCCTGGTGCACTGCGAAGCGGGGATTTCACGCTCTCCCACCATCTGCATGGCGTATCTCATGAAGACGAAGAAGCTCCGCCTGGAGGAAGCCTTCGATTACATCAAGCAGCGCCGGAGCCTGATCTCACCAAACTTTGGTTTCATGGGCCAGTTGCTACAATACGAGTCGGAGATCTTGTCTTCCACTCCCAGCCCTCCCGTTGCCTCGTGCAAAAGAGAAGCTGCGTCTTTCTTTGCAGAAGAACTGACTTTAGGCAAAAACTTTGAAGGCTCGTGTTTCGCCTTTCCTACCTCAGTATTGAGTTCTGTGCCCATCCACTCTCCTGTTCACCAGTTGAAACTCAGCCCGATGACGGCATCTTCGTCCTGCTGAACACCCTGGGCAGACCGGAGCCAGTGCGGTCCTCTGATCCGAACTGTGACCCCAACAAGAACATTTCATGAATGTGCAATAGAGAAACCTCATCAACTTAGTCTGAGATGGAGTGGTTGTCATGGGTCATACTTCCCGTATGCTGTGACCGTAAGACGCAAGTGCTCTAAGTGTGGCGGGTTTTCTGAACTTTTATTGTCCTTTTTTTAAAAAAAAGAAAGTGCTTTTTTAGGTTTTTATCCACAGAGTGTGCACCCACTACTGTATTTCCAGATTCCTGGGGACCAATGAGAAATCCATTTAGTATGTTCTCAGTTCCCATCTCCTTCCCTTCTTATTTTTGAGAAGACCCTTATTTAAAGTCTCAAGCAATAAAACAGAGCAGCGGGGAAGAAAGCAAAACGAAAAGCACCACCTCTGCAACCGCAGAGGTGGTGGGAGTGAATATTTGTTCTGCTTTTTCTCCAGCTTTCCTCCTCCCCTCTCCTGCGTCATGTTTCAGGGAGCAAAGGGGTGGGGTGGCGGGAGGGAGCTCCTTTCCCAGGACACTGTTGCACAACCAGGTGAAAATCCCCTCTCCTGCTCCAGCCTCTGAAGTGTCAGGTACTGACCACAGTGTAACTGGATACCAAACCAGACCGTGGATCCATTCAGGTGTGGCATTTCCTGTACTTCTGCATTTGCCTTTGTACTGGATGTGCTTTTAACTAAAGCAGGGGACTTAACCAACCGAAGCTATCGGGCTACCCTGCTGAGCTATTATCCTCCCATCTGTTATTTAAGAACAGCCCTAGAATACTTGAATGTCTCTGCAATCCTCATCAGAGTTACTTCCCATCAGATAGATAACACTGTAACTGCTGGATTTTACACCAAAAAAACCTGACAAGCTTGGCTCCAAGCCAACTCTTCCTCCATCCCTTCCCAAGTGTTCCCGATGTGTACTGTGTGTGGTCAAGTGGTCTTGTTCAGTGTTACATGGCTTGCTTAGCACGTGTGGTCACCCCTAGCCAGCCTTTGTCTGTGAAAACTGGCTTCTCTCTCGCTCACGCTGGCTTCTGTGTCTGCAGGGAGTTCAGAACGAGCGCCTCTTTGTCTGTTGACCTTTTCATTTTTTTTTAATATGTAATATGTATGGGAAATGGCAATAATTTCCAGGAGATCTCGTGAATGTGAAAGAAAACCTGCAATGGTTTTTATGGAGTGTTAAAAAAAAAAAAAGGAAAAAAAAAAAAAAAAAAAAAAAAAAAAAAAGGAAAAAAAAATGTGAAAGAAAACCTGCAATGGTTTTTATGGAGTGTTAAAAAAAAAAAAGGAGAAAAAAAAAAAAGAAAAAAAAACAAAATAAAGGAAAAAAAAATGCCAGGAAAAGAAAGCTGTTTGTACTTGGAGTGAGCTACAAAAGTGCTTTGGCAGAACTCTGTGGCAGGAGATGTCACCTGAGAAACTCCATGGCCCAAAAGCGGTGTAAGGAGGTAGAAGAGGAGAGTAAGCATCACTGGGCTGTGTGCTGAAAGCCTCCAAGGTGCATCTCTATGGAGGGGAGAAGGTGAGGGGGAGGATTGTTTTAAACAGAGTGACATGAGTCATGGTGGTGTCACTTCCCAGCAGCCAGGCAGGCACTTCTGTTTTGATTTACGCATGTTTTATATAAGATTGCCATCTTGCTGAAGATGAAAATCTGAAGTAGGCATGGCCCCCACTTCCTTCCCGAGCACACGCCACGGGATGCTGCATGCCCCAGAGGGTGCCACAGGCCACCCACGAGTATCACGCCGGGGACCCGAGCATGTGGCTAATGCTCATCTTTTCACTTTTTTAAACGAAAAAAAATAATTTGAAGTGCCAGTATCTCTAAGCCATTTCATACCCTTTTCAGCTGGAAGTTTTTAGGCTCGTTCTGACTTCTCACTGCAGCACACTTACAATCTGCATTTCCAAGATACCGAGTTGAAAAATTTGTGGTAGATGTCTGGGTTACAAAGCATCTATTCCCTGTGTAGTTCATCCATTTGTAACTTCTTACCCCCAGGGAAGCAAATCTGACAGGTGAGAAGCTATCATTGGAGATGAGCCTTGGATTTCTTCCCTGTGTCAGGGGGACATGACAGCAGCTCTGCCTGGGCTCTGGGAAATGTGAACATGGGAACCAGCAGCTGGGGAGGTGAGGCAGGTGATCTAATAAGAACAGATCAATTCATTTTCTAAGAGATCTGATTGCTCTGGAAAGTGCTCTCTGGAAACCCAGAGAGCTGGGTTTCACTGCCAGTTGCAGTGAAAAGGCCTCTCGGCCCCCACAAGCTCCCCCAAGCAGAAAGGCTGGTAAGCTTAGCGAGAGGGACCGCGCCCTGACCATGGAGACCTACAACCTTGACAGAAACAGAGCAGCCAACAGCTTTCATTAAAATGGCATAAAACCCCTTCTGGGGGAATGACCAGCTTTGTTTCTCAAGGATGAGGAAGCTGAAACCCTCTGCAGAGCCGATGATGTTTGCCATGGGAACCTGCAAAGCACAAGGCAGAGGCCTGAAGGGGTTAATGGAGGGACTGCTGGCCTTGGCAGATATGACCACAGCAGCTGGAAAAGATCACAGGCCAGGCAGAAGAGCCAGGTATTTAGCAGAGGGGGAAGGCAGCTGCTCTGGCTTTAGAGAGGAGCTCTGATCCCGGGCTTTAGCACAGCGTGTTGTTGGTGGATAGTGTTGGCAGAGGGAGGTACTGGGCTGGGATTCAGCAAGGACGGAGGGCCAGAGCCCTGAGGGAGCCTGAAGAGGGGTTGTTGTCATGTCTGGGCACAGGAGCCTGAGGTTTGTGCTCCTGCCCAGGGCATGGTTCCCCTCTGCTTGGCTGGTCCCAACCCATGTCTCCTCCCTCCAGAAGGAAGACCCAGCATCCAGGGCAGAGTGGAATATAAATGCTGCCTCCCAGAGGGATGTGCTCCCATGCTCGTGCTGGTGCCTGCGTTGCTGTTTCAGTGCTAATGTAAGACCTCTGCCCCCAGCCCAGCTCCTCCCTTGGCCAGCTTGGCAGATCCCACCTCCCTGGGGGGACACCACAGACATCTGATAGCAGGGGTCTGGGGTGAGAGTACTCGCTCTCCTCCCTCCCTGCCCACGCTGCTCCCACGAGCAGGGAGGAGCCGAGGACCCAAGCACCAATGTGTGAAGGTGAGTGTGACAAATCAGGATGGCACCTACCTGGGCAATGGGATGTGTGAGTTTGAACCCGCACGGGCAGGAACCCTGGTTCTCTGCTTCCAGACATCAGCACGCAACATCTACCTCCATCCTTAGGGAAAGGAACAGCTCCAACAGTGTTTTGTGGCTTGTGTGCTGAGCAAATTCACCAGATTGGGTAGGATGGAAGATTTAGGGGGCTTTTATAGCCCAGATGGGCTTGGGTTTGGGTAGCTCACTCCTGGGGATGGGAGTTCAGATCAGGCAGGTGCGTGGGGAATGTCAGAGCTGAAGGATGGGGGCTGACAGTGATGGGGGCTGAACTGGCTGGTTCAATGTGCCTGTGTCCATCTGCTAGCTAAGCCTGGCAGAGGAATAGGGATCTCAAAAACAAAGTTCTGATGGAAAGTAGAGGCCTACGTAGCTGTAACAGCAAGGGGAAGACTATAGCAGGATGCTTTCAGACATCAGAAAAGGCAAGTGAGGGAAAGATGGTAGGAATGCTGTACCCTTAGGCAAAGCTTTGCTTAGAGCTTATCCCTTATGATACCTGAATCCAAAGAAGATGAGAGATGCTTAGGGACATGGTTTAGTGGGCACGGTGGTGTTGGGTTGATGGTTGGACTCGATGACCTTAGAGGTCTTTTCCAACCTTAATGATTCTATGATTCTATGAAATGTCACAGAAAAGGGGATTTTGCAGGTTCTGCTGCCCATGGAAGTGCTGGTTCAGGGCTGTGCTGGGACGTGAGCATCTCCATTGACACTCCTGACAGTGCACCCTTATGTCCTGGACTCCTCAGTGTTAGTCGGGAGCTGTTTTAGATCCTGGTGTGGGACTGAAGAGGGCTTGTGCCATGTAACTTTTGGTCCCATGCTTTTAGGCTTGCAAAGAGCAGTCATGTTGCAAGTGTGAGCAATGCTGCTCAGCCCCTGTCTCTGCTTTGCACATGCTGCCTTTCCTTTCTGCCTCCAAGACAAACAAACTCCTCAAAAAAACTGCCACAAAAAAATACATGTCTTTACATGGTTGCAAATCAGATTGTGAAGAGATCTGGGGTGGATGGGTGGGTGTAATCCTTAAGTGTCCCTATGTGTTCTTTTAGTCCATGCATTTGCTGGTGTGATTTGCAGACTATGCTAGTTACAAAGGCTTCTCCTGCTTCTCTGAATAAAGGACTTTCCAAAAGGCAGAAATTACATCCTGACCAGTAAAACCCAGGTTAAATTCACCTGCTCCATGGGGAATTTATACTGAGGTGCCCATCCCCAGTCCCTGAGCAATACAAGGTAGGTAGCTCTTCTTAGCTTCTTGCCTTCTGGTGGCAAGCTTCTTTTTTCAGGAGACAAAGTGTGAATGAACAAAGTATTCTGCAGGCGTTGTTATTTCTATGCTAAAAACAACACTTGCCTTGCCGGGAAGTCAAAGGTCCAAATGTGCCTGTAACATGGCAAAAATAAGTGAGGCTCCAGGCATGGTGAATTTGACCCTCCATCTCCACTTTTTACGGCTTCATGCTAATTGGAGAGGAGACACGCTGCCAGCTCACTCTCTGGGGAGAAAAAGGCAGGAACCAATTTGCAGAGCCACATAAATATGGAAGTAGGATTTTTTTTGGTGTGGGAGGTGTTACCAGTACTACACATTACGGTTCCTTGGCTTTATCACATCATAGGCTTTTACCGAGACATGAGTAAGTTCGCTAAATAAGGAATATGAAAATAGCTTGTGAAATAGGTTGAGTCATCAGAGAAAATAAAATTAAGTTCTGACTCTGAGGCCTCAGTTGTAAAGTCCTACTTTGTTTTACCATTGCATTATAG